GCCTTCCTGTGCTGTGATTGGTGGTTCAGCCAGCTGTGTAGAAGAGCAAAGTTACAGCATGTGAGATGATTGCAGCAGTCAGCCTGCTGATTGGCTGATCCTAATTCATTGTCATGGTGATGAGGCCAGTGCAAATGTGAGGCTTTCTTCTTTTAATATTTTTGGATGTATTCATGTTTTTAAACATTAAACATGGTAGTTTGACAACAGTTTGACAATTTGAAGCTAATATTTCACAGCATCTCTGCACAGTGGGTCGTAAACTGCTCAGGCCTGTGATGATTTCACACGTAAGCATGTTTGTGTGGAAGCAGAACCACAAACAAGCTTCAAGGACGTCTTTCAGGTGTCTTAGGTGTTGCAGTTCAGTAGCTGTGACCCAGAGTCACAGAGGGTCTGCAGCAGACGTTGTGCTTTAGTGGTTAAACCAACGTGTTTCTACATGTGCAGCTTTTATTTTGAAGGCAAAGCTTCTCCATGCTGTGCTCGTGACAGTTGAACTGCTGAGTAGCTGGCGGCTGTTTGCTTCCTGTGTTAGCGTCTGCTCCTACACCAGCAGCGATGTGGAGGTGTGGCCTGTTTTGCATGTTTGCTCCTCCACCTGTGCTGCAGGTGGAGGAGCAAACATGATGTCACACCAGTGGGAGACCACAGCAGTGTTCAGTGCATGTCCTACACATCAGCACCAAATAGTCTGGTTGGTATCAAATGAACATCAGTGACAACATGTGGAGCTGCTGACACAGATATCAATGATCATTTATTTATTGATTATAAATCAGCTGTTTCACCTCAGAGCTGAGGAGGACCCTCAGTCCTGCTCTGAGCCCCGTGTGATTGTTTCCACTGTTCTGTTGTTCAGTTATTACAGCCTAGAAGACGTCAGCCACGAGTCTATTAACAGGTATCTGTCCAACCTGGTGGAGAGGAGCCTGCGTGACCTCGAGGGCTCCTACTGCATCGAAATTAAAGAGGTGTGTGATGTTTCCAAGCATGCTCTCTGCATGGTGTCACAGGTGTGTTCAAAGGTTTCCTGTCATCACCTCCACAGGACGATCAGTCGACTGAGCCTCTTACCTACGGTCGCATCGCCTCCTATTACTACCTGAAGCACCAGACCATCCGCACGTTCAAGGAGCGCCTCAGGGCGGAGCTACCCATACACGAGCTGCTCTCTGTGCTCACGGTGAGTTTCATCTGCAGCCAGGTCACCCCTGCACGCAGCTTTCACTGAAGAGTGACTCCTGGGTGACTGGATCACCTCATGCTGTCGTCTGTCTGTCTTTGTTTATGTTATTGCTGAAAAATAAGCTGTTAGTGTGATTCTGGTGGACCAAAGCACGCTGGGGCTGAAGCGGCTGCCTTCCTCCCCAACAAGCTGCAGTATGCACTCGTGCGCTCAGGCCCAGGCATGCTGCTTCACCTGCACAGCAATGACCTGCACTCACACCTCCACATGGCCCCGCCCCTTCTGATAAACATGCTCCACACAGACTGAACCTTCTTCTGGTTTGGCTCCTGCCGTCACAGGACACAAACACAGTCCTGTCTCATTGCGACATTCGAAGGCTGTGCTTTGCTGCTGAGCTCAGTGCAAAGTGAAATCTGACAGCTCATAAAAACATGCAAGGCCGCAAACAAATCCTCGAGTTAGCAGAACGTTTGCAGCGCGGCATCACAGAGCTCGCTGCACGTTAGTGTTTGCCCCAGTCTGAGCAGCTACTCTGCTGTTTCTTCATTTATGTTTCTGTGCATCAGCTGCCTGATAATGTTCTCACTGTTCATCATACAGCTGCTGGTTTTACAGAAGTGGTCAAATACAAAACAAACCATCCATCCATCCATCCA